CACCGGGAAAGGGAAGATTGATGGAGGATTTAAAAAAAAGTTGTTGCAAACTCATAGAACTAAGCAGAAAACGGGGGGGGGGGGGGCTGTCAATGATTGCGCTCTCCATGGAGACCCGAAGGCCAATGAGAAGGGCAGAAGCTGTTTATAGAGGCGGAGCGTCTCCATGGCATCCAGAGAAGCCTTTTCGAGCAGCTACTTATTGACAGTCATTCTGTTGCTTACAAATCACAGTACCTTTGGGATAAAAGGGCTCTGGCAGCCTTAATAATTTATCCGACGGGAGAACAGTAGAAACCCCCCCTCTCTCCCCCTCCCCTTTTTCTTCGTTACCCCACCGAAGAGCCCCCGTTTAGCTGTGAACCTTTGGCTGCGGTGGGGGTTTCTTCATAGGAGCAGGTAAGAGGACGGAATTATTTATTTATTAGGCTGGCTAAGAAGAGGGACGTTTAGGTTTCTTACCCCCCATTCTATTGGGAGGAATATAATTTCTCCTTCCCATCAAATTGGGATCGTGGGTTGATCCCTGAATCAATGATCAAAAGAGCAAAAACCTTCATTTCAAGGGAGTGGAGGAGACCTTATCTAGAGGTAACGATCTTGGTCGTATATTTGGGATTGGGTTCCTGTGTCTTTAACACGAAGGTGTTTGGCATGGCTTTCATTTCTTAGTTCTGGATACTGTACACCTAAATACAAGTATTTATTGCTGTTGTATGTGGTTGATTTCCCCAGTTAATGGTACCATTGTAACATATCAGCACCCCCTTAAAATTGCCCAGAAAACTTATAAGAAACTGTGAGTCAGCTAAGATGATCTTCTAGTTTGTTTAAATTGTCTAAGTATCATCTGTGGAAATAATTTTCAAACTGTTCAACTGAGGCGGAGGTTGATTGCATAATGAGTTCTGTATTGAGGTACTTTCAGCAGCAACAACAAAAAACTTCCCCATTTGTACTGGATGTTGTATGCCCAGGATAGGATTGGCAGTTCTATCCATTGTGAAAAGAATTTATACAACCAATACTTATTAATTGGGATGATGGAAGATATGTTCATTCAATTATTAGTATTATTGTAGGGCAGCCCTAGTCATATCTACTTAGAAATAAATATCACTGCATTTAATAGGGCTTATTCCCAGGTAAGTGTATATAGAATTGCTGTCTTAAATATATGTGTTCATATCTCCATTCGTTTTTTCAAAGATGATTTTCACAGGGGGAAAAAAGAAAAACAAATGTTTATCTTTTACTTTATCACTCAGCATGAGTGATAAAGTAAAAGATAGAAAGAAGGAGCCAATTTTGGAATTTCTGAATTTAAAGAAATTGTTACAATTTCTTGAGAGAAATATCAGGGATTATTTCAGTGGTATGTTTCTTTCTGTGTTTTGATAGGAACAAAGCTGTTCACACTCTTGGCAGTTCTGAAAAAAACCTCACTACAAATGGAATTGGTTGATTTCCACCCAAATTATCACTTGGCCTATATAAAGCTAGCTACTATACTTGAGAAGGATGACTTGATTTGATTTGATTTGAGAGGGTGACTCCATTCTCTAGGGTTACATCCAGTATATATTTGGCTCCTGTGCTTTTTGATGTTTGGCTGGGAAGCAACTTGTTCAAGTGTGCATCTGTGTGCTGCCTGGTGGTTAGGGACCTTGAACGTCTTCATATTATTGTTTCAGGATTGTTCCCTTACCCATCCTCCCCGTTCTTTTCCAATCCCCCCCTTCCTGCTCTCCCACAATTCCTGAATGTTGGACCTGCCTATTTTGGCTTCTACTGGCATGACTGACGGCTGGCTAAATATGCAGTCAGAGGAAGAAAAAAGTCAGGACAACAGCATGATGGATTCGGGCAACCTGGACGACAGCTTGACCAGTCTACAGTGGCTTCAGGAATTCTCCATCATCAATGCAAACATGGGCAAGTCATCCTCTTCCCTATGCAGCACAGATCCTCATGGTTATCACAAAATACCTGGCTCAGCTGCACCATGTTCTCCCCTAGCTGGTGATCCAGCTTGCATGGGAATGCCCCATACCCCTGGCAAGCCAATTTCCTCTTCCACATCCAGGACTGCACATCTACAAGGCCAGCCACTAGAAAACATAGATTACAAGACCAACCCTCATGTGAAACCTCCTTACTCTTATGCTACCCTCATCTGTATGGCAATGGAAGCAAGCAAGAAAACAAAAATCACCCTCTCAGACATCTATAAATGGATTACTGATAATTTCTGCTATTTCCGGCATGCTGACCCTACATGGCAGGTAGGTGACTAGGAAAATGTCTGTTTTAGCAACTGTATTTTGAATAAGACACCTACTTATGTATGGGAAGGTATAGTGCCTGCGTACTTCAATAGTTTTGAATTAATGACTAGCTTTCCATTCAAAATGCATCCAACAGTAGTAATGGCTTATTATAATTGTCCTGAAAATTTGTCTACGACTTTCAGTGCAATTCCTTTGCATGCTAGATAAATCAGGTTAAATCAGGAGCTTAAGAATAACTTCTAAAATTACATGTTCAGGGACTTCAGAAGCAATTGTGCTAGATCTACAAACAGTTTTTAGCACTTTTAAGTTATAGTTAGCTTTTTACTTTTTGGACCAAATTTCCTCAAAAAGTAACATACTTCTTTTTTTTCCAGTTTTGCCATTTTATATGAGAACCATGTTGCTAAATTTTCTGGCTGTAGGACACTCTTCTGAGAGTAGAATAGATTTGTTGACAACCCACCATGACATTAGAAAGCAACCAACGGCACTTAGTGTTCGTGCTGAACCTTTCTCTGTTTCCTTCTCCCTTGAGTACAATTACTGTTGCTCGGTGTGTTTCCTATTGAAGTGTTTTGCTTGGAGTAAGCACTTAGTAGCACAAGCGATTGTTGTAAATGAGAAAACAAAACAATATAAACAGGCATGTTCTTCCTTTAAAGGTAGTAGTTATCCATTATCTTCCCATTGAAGGATAAACACTGTGGATTATTCAGAGGCTAATTGTTGTAGTTATAGAAAACAGACAAACACAATCAGAATGCCAATATAAAAAATCATGTCCAAATACAGCCTTCCCCAAGTTGTCCACATATGTCAAATTGCAATTCCCATAATCCACAAGCTACCTGGGAAGGCTGTTGTAGACAATATACAGAAAATATGGTGAAAGTGTGTAAGAGAAAATGAGGGATGAATAAAGAAATAAAAGTGGAAAAATGAAATGTAGTGGACAAGACAAGTGCTAAGTAGTTTAACTGTGGTTTATTTTAAAAAAAAATACAAAAGGATAAGAAATCAGATAGTGATTCTCACAATGGCCAGGTCTATTTATTGTATAAACCAGTATGCCTTCGACTGCATCCACTGATTCAGCCACCATTGGGGTACAAAAAATGTGGCCTGTCACCCTTCCTTCTATGGGATAGGAGGCAAACCAAGATTTTAAGTCTTGCATAGACTAATAGCATTATTTTCAAACCTCAAACACTTCTGTTCTGATTCCCTTTCTGATAAAAGGCATCCAAAGTATGTTGTACAAAGACTGGAGAAGGCCTTAAGCCAATGGAACACTTCTAGGGTTTCTTCTCCAACTGTCTTTGATTAGTAAACAAAGTACAGTTTACTGGAGTCATTGCACCATAAACTATTATTTATAACCATGTTGGCTGGGTTCACACAATACACTGAACCCCAAGCATACACATTATGACTTAGAATAATATGTCAACTGTGCATCTAAAAATTGCGTGGAAGCTATTACCTCTCTGTCATACACTGGATGCCTCTAATCCATTCAGTCACTAATATATGTAGATATCCAAAAGATAAGACAATTATCTACAGGGAAAAGAGGCCAGTTAATTCCCCCCCCCCCAGGGATATATATTTTTAGGAAGGATTATTGAACCCTAATGTTAACTAAAATGCTTTTAGAATGTTTAGGCTTTTGAATGCTGATATTACACTGGCCCAAAGAGAAGGCTGTTAGCTTTGCCATTAACATATTGCTGTATCTTGAAATATCTCGATTCTCCATAAGAACCTGGAAATGGCAACTTGCTATAAAAAGCAGTCCATATTCAGCTTCTAGTGCTCAATTTTTATATTCCAGATTTTGGTTTGTCATAAGCAGGAAAAACCAGGTTAACACCACTGTAATCAAGAAAACTTTAAAGCAACCATCATTGCTGGTTATGGAGTGAGTTGGAACAGGGGAAAGGAAAGCACACATTAACTGGTAATCTGACCTAAGGAAGATTCTTTTTCATCCCTCCCCCCCCCCTCTCCTTCCTTTAATTCATCGGAGAGGGAAGATCAAAAGCTCTGGCTATATCAGTTATATACGAGGGAAAGAGCTGGATGCCATCTGGTGTTCCACAGGACTGAAGACGAAGAAAGATGCGAAAGAATTAGTAATAAGCATGTGAGAAAAGATACTGGGAGAAAATAAGGGAACAGAAGCGATGGGCTATTTTATTCGACACAAGAACAGCTCAAAACGGTTTGTTTCCTGAAGCAGAAAACAAGATGGCATCCTCCCTCATTCCATGTAGAAGCCAACTGAACTTACAGTTGAATCTTATGTCAGTACTGGTCATAGCCACTTTCATCAAAGAGTCAGTAGTTAGGAGTGCCCAGAAGGAACAGATAGGAATCTGCCATATACTTTTTTGAATCTCCAATTACTACCATAGCTGTCACACCTAATCCTATTCTTGATTCTGTGTGATTTGTTAAAATATACTTGAGCCAAAGTGAAGTAAATAGGAAAACCAGAAAAGACCAAGTAAGGGGTAATAGCCAGATCTTTTCTAATGCACTTATTCAATTTTGGCTGAATGCTATATAAGGAGACATGGTACATCTCGTTTATTTGTAATTTCAATGCTTGTAGAAATGTAGCTTATTATTATTATTATTTTATTTTTTATTTGTCTTGTATGCCGCCCACTCCCAGAGGACTCCGGGCGGCTCACAAAAGACAAGGGAAAGCATCACAATAAATTCACTATTTGTTGAGTAAGTCATTGTGGATTTACACATTACTTTAAGACATAATTTATAAATCCAAGCCGCTAAGTTCGTATAATGCACAGCAAAGCCAGACAAATAACATAATTTAATTTAGTGTATACGATTCCTGCCTGTGATTTGCCCACATTTCCCAGTAGAAGATGGATACTTAAAAGCCAACATAATACAAGCAAAAATCTTTTTAATACCATCCCCAATTAATCTCAACCAAAATAAAATGTGTTTCATTCAGGCATTCTTGTATCCGACTTCCCTTATATTTGTAAAATTACAGATTAGGGTGTAATGTTGAATCTCAGCATAGCAGAGAATCTCAGAGAAAACCGCTAACATTTTCTCTTTTTGTAACTAATTAGTAGTAAGTCAGTTGCTGGATATTATAGTGAAGATACCAAAGGTGAGTAATACAATTTTATTGCCTGTCCAAAGATACCAACACACCACTTGAAATTCTTTCCAACACCCTCGCAGATGTCCAAATTCAACCTAATTTCTGAAGTGCGACCAATTGACTATGGTCAGTCTTTATTCTATGGTTGCCACTATGCTGCCAATAATGACTTTGTTGTAATATATTGAATAATTCCTATCCTGATCACAAAACAACTATTTCATATATGCACTTGTTTTCCTTCATGTCATGAATTCCCACTATGGAAGAAGGGTGTAGAGATTCCTCATGTAAGACATTTATGTCAGTAAATTGTTCTTATTTGGTGATATTACTGGGATATGTGTTCCTGTAAGTTTGTTTTTGAAGATAAATCTATGATAATTTATTTGTTTTATCTATCTACATACAGGAATGTCATGTCTTGGGCTGATTGACATTACTTCCGACCTATTAAGAGGATGCATTTCTTTGAGAAAGTTTTAAAAAGAACTTTCTGCTCATCTCTATGTCCCTCTATATCCTGATATGGCCATAAGCAGCTTCCTACTACTGTCATTCATCCATATATGCAAACATATATATTTATGTAATTTTAGGTAGATCCCAACAAAATATATAATCATCAAATGAACTTTGATCTCTTAAGTAGAGGGCTTCTTACATCAAGAAGTCACCCGCCAGGTGATGTTGGCTCCCCTCCATATTGGACTCCCTTTGGTCCCAAAGTCTAGAGTGTACCAGTTCCCTAGTCCTAATTTAATATGTCCTAAATTAAATCTAAATTAAATTAAATCTGAACAAATTCCATATATCTTTAAGTGATAAAAATGTTAATCTGTTGAAATTTCTGGAGTCACATAATTTGTTTTTTCAGTAATTTGTTGGAAAACCTGCATATATACTGTGGATAAAATTTTTAGGCTTAAAGGAAATCTGGAATATTCTTGAAAAAGCCTTTTTATAATATTGCTGTTTTCAATATTGAAAGTAACACTTACATGTAACATATAATAAATATTATATGTACTCTTCAACATCTTCATCAGTGATTTGGATGAGGGGATAAATTGGGAACTCATCAAATTTGCAGATGACACCAAGCTGGCAGGAATAACCAACACTACAGAAGACAGGCTTAAGATACAGAAGGATCTTGACAAACTTGAACATTGGGCACTATCTAA